GTCCCACAACAGCTTGTTTGGTGGCTTCATTATTGGATGAGATTGTTACTCCAGCCTCATTGCTAATTCTACACCACCACCAGATTAGCTTTCCCTGTCCGAGGATCGGATTGAAAAATCATTTCCTGGACTGGGAGGACAACTGACTGCTGCAACAATATTATATATATATATATATATATATTTTTGGGCATGTTAAGCTACTTTGGCTGTTGCACCAAGATTCTAAATTTTAAAAAAACATTAAAAATTAAAAAACATTAATTTTACATATTAATAATATCAATACTATTATTAATCCAGTGGTGTATAAATAAAAACTCTTTATCTTATATTTTTAACCTAATATTACCACAATAATAATCTCCTCACTCAATCTTAACGTACTTTTTATCCTCTCCATCCTAATCGGCCAAACAAACGTGATGTAAAAGCAAACAATTTTTCATTAAATACCAAAATCACAAGACTAGTCATGACTCCATGCCCCCACCAAAAATGCCTCATAGGCAATGCTTTTCTGGTCCCCTGTTTTCTGCTTCATTTCCAATAGACATAACTTGAACTGATAATTACTACTAACCCAACATGATTTACCGTATTCATGTATATGAAGTTTTACACATAAACATCCACATAGCAAAGGACGAATTACACTCATAAAAGATTGCATTCAACAAGAATGAATCCACGAAAGTAATTGCATACCACAACAATGTATCGAATGCAAGAGCAAAATGATGTTTCTGTTGTCTAAATTAAAGGAGACCATGACCACCTACCACCTCAAAGCCTTGTGATGCTACTAACCACTACTGTATTATATCGAACAAGTAAAGGAATCGTTGCAATAAAATAACTTTTCGAGTAATTTGTTAATCCACCACTCCATTACAAAATCAACAAAAAAATGCCACCAAGGAATGTCCATCAATGAGAATGACAATCCAAAGTTGACATCTCCAACTCAAATGAAGTGCATATCCCATGAAAATTTCAAGATTTCAAGAACATTGTGAAACCATCAATTAATAACCTAATAACAAAGACCAATTAATACTGAATGAAACATTTACCAATGAATAAAACTCGCTAGCTTAGATTTGGTGACTACAATTATACAACAATGGCTACGTGCATGCTGTAAGATTTTTGAATAGCTTTCTGTATCTCATATATTCAATGTGTATCAATTACAATCAGACCTTAGAATATATATAGCCCTAACTCCTAAACCAAAAAAGAAATACAAATACAATACTATCATGACTCTAATACAATCATACCTCTAATAGGACTCTAAGTTTAATTTGTAAGAATCACAACATATTTCACAATATATTCTCATACCCCCGCTCAAACTCAAGGTGTTTTAGCAGAAAACACGAAGAGTTTGCTAAGAAGAAACTGAAACTGAGCAGTAGTGTGAGTCTTGGTGAAGAAGTTCGGAAGCTGCAAAGCTGAAGGGATGAAAGGAAGCGAGATAGAGGCAGACTGCAGATGTTGGCGAACAAAGTGACAATCAATCTCAATGTGTTTTGTCCGCTCATGGAAGACAGTATTGTGGGCAATCTGAACAGCACTGCGGTTGTCACAATATAGAGAGGCCGGAGAAGACTGAGAGACACCCAAATCAGACAAAAGACAACGAAGCCAAACAATCTCAGCAGTGGCATGAGCCATAACACGATACTCAGTTTCGGCAGTAGAGCGAGCAATAGCTGATTGTTTCTTACTTTTCCAAGAGATCAAGGAATCGCTAAGAAACATACAGAAACCAGACGTAGACTTGCGATCAGTAACATCACCAGTCCAATCAGAGTCAGCATAGGCCACCAAGTCCAAAGAGGAAGTAGAGGGCAATAGTAAGCCTTGAAATATGGTACCCCTAAGATAGCGAAGAATGCTAACCAAAGCAGCCAAATGGGTAGAGCGAGGAGTAGAAACGAACTGACTAACCACATGAACAACATAAGCAAGATCAGGGCGAGTGATCATCAGATAAACTAAACAACCCACAAGCTCACGATATAAAGCAGGATCATCCAGAGGGACACCATCAGTAGAATTAAGCTTCACATTAAGCTCAATAGGTGTATCAGAAATCTTCGTATCGGTAAGACCAGCACGGTGAATGACTTCATTAGCATACTTAGCTTGAGACACAAAATAGCCCTTTGGAGAAAAAACAACCTCAATACCAAGAAAATACCATAATGGACCCAGATCTTTCATTTCGAATGTGCGAAAAAGATGCTGCTTAACCTCAGAGATAGTAGAAGAGTCAGAGCCAGTGATGATCATATCATCCACATAGATTAAGAGAGCAACAAAACCAGCCGATATATGTCTCAGAAATAAAGTAGAGTCGGAAGCAGAACAATGAAACCCAAGCTTGGTAACAGCAGTCTGAAAGCGATCATACCAAGCACAGAGAGACTTCTTCAGACTATACAGAGCACGCCGAAGATGACAAACTTGGCCAGAGGAATGGGAAAGACTAGGAGGAGGACGCATGTAAACCTCCTCAGTGAGATGGCCATTAAAAAAAGCATTCTTAACATCCATCTGATAGAGAGGCCAAGAACGAATAGCAGCGACAGAGATCAAAGTACGGATAGTAGTCATCTTGGCAACAAAAGCAAATGTTTCTTCATAATTAATACCATACTCCTGAGAGAAACCTTTGGCAACCAAACGAGCTTTGTAGCGCTCAAGAGACCCATCAAAATGAGTCTTGACTTTGTAGACCCATTTGCAACCAACCAAGTTCTTACCAGTAGGCAAAGGAACCAGCGTACTAGTTTTCTGTAGAGCAGACAACTCATTTTCCATAGCGTGAACCCAATGAGAGTCCTGACATGCCTCTTTGTAAGATTGAGGTTCTGAAAAAGAGTGAATAGCAAACAAAAAAGTATGATAAGAAGCAGAAAAACATGTGTTAGACTAACCTAACCTGTTTGGAGGATGATGCGCTTGAGTAGGATATCGGTGTGCAACAGGATCAGAGTCGGCAGCAGCAGGAGGATCAGCAGTAGGGGTAGAGACAACCGGTGGAGAAGGAGCCTTTCGACGAGAATAAACTATCAACGGAGAAAGAGAACAAACTGAAGGAGGAGAAGCAACCGGAGGTGAAGCAGGAGGAGAAGATGAAACAAGCTCAGGAGGAACTGTGGAGATGTACTCATCAGATGGTACCTCAGAAGGAAACGGATCAATGTGAACCAAATCTTCTTTGGAAACTAGAGCAGTGACAGGAGGAAGCTGAAAGTAAGGCAGGCGTTCAAGAAAAGAAACATGACGAGAGACATAAAAACGACGGAAAACAGGGTCATAACACCGATAGCCTTTCTGAGTAAGACTATAACCCAAAAAGACACAGAGGATAGACCGCGCACTAAGTTTGGTCCTATCTTTGCGAGGAAGAGGGACAAAACAGACAGACCCAAACACACGAAGGATTGAGTAGTTAGGAAGTTGGGAGAACAAAGCCTCATAAGGAAACCGACCAGAAAGAATGGGAATAGGCATGCGATTGAAAAGAAAAGCAGCAGTAAGAATTGCCTCTCCCTAGAATGGAGTCGAAACTGAGGCAGAGAAAAGAAGAGGCCCAGTTGTCTCAAGGAGATGACAGTGTTTACGCTCAACGCGACCATTTTGGGCAGGTGAATCTGTACAGGAAGTTTGGTGAATGGTACCCAAATTGACCAAATACTCACAAAACTCAGTTTTAAAATATTCCCGACCCAAGTCAGACCGTAATACTTTAATGGTAGACCCAAACTGTGTAGTAATCATAGCCTGAAACGTACGGTATATCTGATAGAAATTGGATTTATGAGTCATAAGATAAACCCAAGTGTAACGGCTGCAGTCATCAACAAATGACACATAGTATGCAGAACCCTCTTTGGTGAGAATAGGAGAAGGGCCCCAAACATCAGTATGAACTAAAGAAAATGGTGTGTCACATATAGAAGTGCTTTTACGAAAAGGTAAGGTTGTCATCTTGGCGAGTTTACACCCTTGACATTCAGTATGTTCACTAGGAGAAACTTTTCTCAAGATACCTGATTGAGCTAAAGACCGTAAGCGGTCAGCAGACAAATGCCCTAATCCAGAATGCCACAAGTAGAAAGGACTGGACAGAGAATCTAACTGAAAAGAGGAAAAGGCAGTCGGAGAGGTTGTTAAAGGCAGATACAAGCTCTCTACCACATAGAGGTCCCCAACTCTACGACCAGTCCTAATCTATTGTTTAGACATCCGATCCTGCACAAAACAGATAGAAGAGAAAAAGATAACATCAAAACCAGAGGCATCAAGCTGATTGATAGATAATAAACTGACAGCTAATTGAGGAACAAAAAGAACAGATGGAATAGAGACAACAAACATAGCAGACGGTAGGACAGACCCAACAAATATAACAGACATACCAGACCCATTAGCAGCATTGACAGTAATAGAAAAATGAGGAGGAGTGCAATCTTGAAGTAAGGAGAGATGGGGAGTCATATGATGAGAGGCACCAGAGTAAAAAAGCTAGATAGACGAAGAAATATCTGAAAAAGACCCAAGCAAACCTAAATGAAAAGAGGAAACAGCAGAGGCAGATGGAGATGGCTGGGAGGGAGACAATATATGCTGAAGTTGACTATGCTAAGCAGTCAAGGAAGCCAAGTCAGGATCAGGAACCGGAGCAGATGTAGTAAAACCGACGGGAGGCCGAACAATACTCAGAGGAGGAGAGCAGAACTTGATCGAAAATTACTGAGAAGACAAGGTAGACACAAGCAAAGCAGACAAACATCCTTTGTTGGGACAGTGGTACTTCCAATGGCCCTTCTAATGGCAGAAGGCACACTCATTAAAAGCCAGAAACATCATAATAACTAGAAAATTGAGGGGTTTCCAATGCAATCAAACAAAGTAACTAAACCAGGGGTTTAAGTGTAATAATCAAAATGCGAGGGGTCAAAATATATTCATATATATATATATATATATATTTTTAACGCCAAGTAGTAGGGCTTAAAACACGATCTCACACACACACACACACACACACAGACAAACAGAGCAGCAAGACAAACCAGTCGATCGAATCAGCCCAACGAACCACGAGGTGTGGTCGATTAGCAAAACTAGAGAGAACCAGAGAAGGAGATAGATCGCGAATCAATCGCGATGCTGAAGTAGACTGAGAGAAGCGACGGCGTGAGAGGCGATAGCTGAGAGAGGCGACGATGACTAAGAAGCGACGTTGACTGAGAGAGGCGATGGCTGAAGTGACGACGGCAGCGGCTGAGAGAGGCAACGGTACTAGGGTTCGCGAAGACTGATCGTGACCTTAAGTTTTCGAACACGGCTCTGATACCATGTAAGATTTCTGAATAGCTTTCTGTATCTCATATATTCAATGTGTACCAGTTACAATCAGACCTTAGAATATATATAGCCCTAACTCCTAAACCAAAAAGAAAATACAAATACAATACTATCATGACTTTAATACAATCATACCTCTAATAGGACTCTAAATTAAGTTTTTAAGACTCACAATATATTTCACAATATATTCTCACATCATGAATTATCATATGATATTATCTGATAAAAGAAACTATCTAAAACTTGCCCAATTCACCTAAAAAAAAAAAAAAAACCTAAAGATGCTTTACACCATCATAAAACTATAAATAATCATGCTTACGTAATTTACCTTTGTTATTTGGCTCCACAAGCTATTTCCATCCCCCCTATCATGAGCTCACTTGATTGAGACCATGGTAGCAAAATGAACACTACAACAAACTTGTCCTCACTCTTCATCAAATTTGCAATCAAACACTCATACAAGCATTGGACAACAAGATCACAATTTGCCACAGCTGCCCAAAAGTACAATTTCTCAAGTTGAAATCCCATTCAACAAGTCCACCACCTCTTTCATTGCAGGCCTCTCCTTGCAAATATCACTAGCACAAGACATAGCAATCCTGAAAAACTCTACAACCCCAGCTTCTCCCAACCCATCTCTAGAAATAGTTGTATCAAGCATTTTCATTTGCTTATTGTGTTCCACCATCTTCCTAGCCCACTCAGCCAACCTCATTTCCTGGGAATCCCCCTCATCCTCTGCCTTAAATGGCAAATTGGGTCGAATCCCAGTTGCAATTTCCAACATAAGAATCCTAAAACTGTACACATCGCCAAAGGTAGTGGCGGTAGTGGCCCCTAGTAAGTACTCTGGAGGCATATAACCCATTGTTCCGGCCACTTGGATGGACACATGGGAATGCGAACTTTCAATTATCCTAGCCAACCTAGAATCAACAATGTGTGCCTCGAACTCCTTGTCAAGTAACACATTACTAGCTTTAATGTCCCTATGTATAATTGGTGTGTCTAAATTATGCACATATGCTAAACCATTGGCCACACCTTTAATAATTTTAAGCCTTGTTTCCCAAGACAACGGCAGCCTCGGAACTAATGATGTTGACACGTCATTCTTCGACGATGACGTGTCGAGTAGCCATTGATCGAGACTGTCGTTCTCGATAAATTCGTAAATTAGGATCCGGTCCCAACCCGTGGCGCAATACCCGAGGATAGTGACGATGTTGGGGTGCCGGAGCTTACCTAAGGTTTCCATCTCAACCCGGAATTCTCGAAACCCTTGAAAAGCATCGCTGCTGAGCTTCTTGACAGCGACGGTCACGCCGTTAACGAGGCAGGACCTGTAGATGAGGCTAAAGCTGCCGTCGCCAATGATGAGGTCCGGCAAGAAGTTACGAGTGGCCTAGATGACCTCCGGCATGGAGACCTAGACGAGCTCCGGCATAGAGACCCGATTTAGAAAGGGGTCGAATGAGGCGCTCTCGCCAATGGGGATTGAGAGCTGGGAATTGGGCCGAGTTCGGGTTTGTTGGTTTCGGTTCTTGCCGCATCGGCAGAGGGTGAGCATGAGGGTGAAGAGTAGGGTGGCGACGAAGAAGCTAGCGATGGCTGCAAGGATGCCCTAGAGGTGTGATCCATGGAGAATTTAGAGATAGAAAGTTTGAGAGAGAGAGAGAGAGAATTGAAGGGTTTGTTGAATTTAACTGAGTGTGTGCGCGTGTGAATATGAGCGGCCATTAACGGGGCTTTCGTAGAAGAACAGTTGCTCGGGAACTTCGGTGCTGGAGACTCAAAGGTCCAATCAACGCTTGGTTATTGAGTGTGTCGCAGGTGCATATTTATTCGATGTTTCTGCTTTAATCGACGGATGATATTGGTTGTATCAAATGATGACATGTAGAGTGATGAAGATTTACAGGTTTTATTCTGCACTTCTTCCTTATTAAGGCTGTGTTTTGGGGAAAATTTTTTTTGATTTTTTTGGATTTTTTCTACTAAAAGATAGTTTTTACAAAATAAAATAAAAAAAAACAAATCCAAGCAAAATATCACATCCAACTCCATAATCATTTAACTTTTTCTCTTACAAACATCACATCCAACTACAAAAAAACTCAACTATCTTTCCAAATACCAAAAATTTTTTATCTAATAATATTCTACAACTAAAAAACCTACATAAAAATCCACTTTCCAAACACCCACTAAATTTATCTTTAGGTCATAACGTTCCTTTGTATTTAAATTTGAGTTTGTATATAGTGATCAAATTTAAAATTTAAATTTAAAAGTATTCATAATTTAATACCAAAACTATTCAAAATTGTATTTTTCTGATCAATCCAATGTACAAGAAAATGTCTATACATGTACAAGAGAAGAAAATATAAAAAATCATTTTATATAATAATATATTGTTGTGAATATATAAAAAAAAAAAATTATAAAATTAAAGGTTAAATTTGAGAGAAGTCTAATTTATATATATAATCAAATTGAGTAACGATCTCCATCCGTCCAAAAATCTAATTAATTTTTCTATTTTCATTCTAAACATTATGGATTAGTGATTGTTATGTTAAATAATCTAAATATTAACTCTAAAGATTACCAACAAAACAAATAAATAAGCCTCCGTTTGACAAGAGCTAAACCGGATTTTTTTTGACTATTTTAACTACAAAAGATAAAATAAGTTATTTTAGTCACAAAAAATAAAATATCACATCTAACCCATAATCATTATATTCTTCTCTCACAAAAAAAAGTAAAAAAAAACAAAAAATTCTTTTCAAACCAAACTTTTTAACCAGGCTAAAATAATCAAAAAAAAAAAAAAAAAAAAAAAAAAAAAAAAAAAAAAAAAAAAAAACAACCCACTTGCCAAACGAAGGCTAAATAATCTTTCAAGAACCAATTCCAACAAAATAGAATCTGGTTTACATGGACAAGATTACTTTTTGTAAATTTTTATACACCTTTATCGATCTTATAAGATAATTTATCAAGCGAATCAAATTTTGTGCCATTAAAATAGATCAACTGAGAGAGAAAATTAACATGTTCCACTTATTTAAATAATTTTAACTCATAAACTACAAGTAAAAGCTCAGCTTTTAAGGTTGAAGCTAATGAAAATCAAATAAGACCATCTCCAACGCTGAACCAAAATTGATATCAGATTTAAATTTTGATGAAAAATGTACTTTTTCATGCTCCAACCGTTGCATCAAATGAATATCAAAATGAGAAATCAGCAAAAAAAAGTACCAAATTGAGTGCAGGCGAAAATTTATATATATAATCAAATTGAGTAACGATCTCCATCCGTCCAAAAATCTAATTAATTTTTCTATTTTCATTCTAAACATTATGGATTAGTGATTGTTATGTTAAATAATCTAAATATTAACTCTAAAGATTACCAACAAAACAAATAAATAAGCCTCCGTTTGGCAAGAGTTAAACGGGACTTTTTTTTGACTATTTTAATCACAAAAGATAAAATAGGCTATTTTAGTCACAAAAAACAAAATATCACATCTAACCCATAATCATTATATTCTTCTCTCACAAAAAAAAGTAAAAAAAGGCAAAAAGGCAAAAAATCCTTTTCAAACCAAACTTTTTAACCCAGGCTAAAATAGCCAAAAAAGCCAAAAAACCAACCCACTTGCCAAACGGAGGCAAAATAATCTTTCAAGAACCAATTCCAACAAAATAGAATCTGGTTTACATGGACAAGATTACCTTTTGTAAATTTTTATACACCTTTATCGATCTTATAAGATAATTTATCAAGCGAATCAAATTTTGTGCCATTAAAATAGATCAACTGAGAGAGAAAATTAACATGTTCCACTTATTTAAATAATTTTAACTCATAAACTACAAGTAAAAGCTCAGATTTTAAGGTTGAAGCTAATGAAAATCAAATAAGATGGATGTAGAAGCTAGTGTGCACCATTGGCTTTGATCAGTATTCAGTAGTGCTTTAACCATTTGCTCACTTACCCCATCGTCTAAAGCTTTTGTGTGTGTGTGTGTGAGAGAGAGAGAGAGAGAGAGAAAGCTGGAGATGATTCCATATATACACATATATATAACCAGAAATAGTTATTAGTCGTTGTGGATCGCTCACAGATCTCGGCCTACAACTCGAATCTGACTCATGCCGGAGCGATTTGAACTCACGTTGATCAAATCACCTCGACGAAGTTGCCGGAAAGAGCAAACTGACCGTCGGAAAAGAGGACAATGCCTTCAACGAAGTGAGAGTGGCCAGTGAGGCGACGGCGGTGGCTGAACTCGATCCGAAGCTGTCGTTGTTGATTCCCGCGACGGCAAAGTCATGGTGGTTGAACTCAGATCGGAGGTCGGAGATGGTGTCGGCAGTGGTGGTGCCGAGTGGAGAGAGAGAGACGATGATGAGAATGGTTTGGCTTGGTTAGATTGGGGTTAGTTTGGTTATTTTGTCGGAGTCGACAAAATATTTTAAAGCGTGTACCTTTTGACCAAAAAAATTTAGGGAAACTTACTGATAAGTCTCATGTGTTAAGTTCAAAATTCAGTTAATTTCAAAATAAAATACTTACACTAATTAATCTAATATATTTTTAATTGTTATCAAAAAAATTTTTTTTTTTTTTTTTTTTTTACAGACACTGTTCACATTTTATTACCGTAGGACTTCCGTCAAACGGTCACCGAAGACTCGTCGGAATGTTCAACATCACCAGGAAGTCGCCGGAGTTTCGTCGGAAGTTCGCCGGAGTGTTAGGAACGTTAATGGAAGTCGCCAAAATGTTCAGAACGTTCACTGGACGTTAAGAACATCACTGGAAACTCACCGGAATGTCTAGAATATTGCCGGAAAAAAAAAAAGTGGTGCCGAGTGGAGAGAGAGAGAGACGATGATGAGAATGGTTTGGCTTGGTTAGATTGGGGTTAGTTTGGTTATTTTGTCGGAGTCGACAAAATATTTTAAAACGTGTACCTTTTGACCAAAAAAATTTAGGGAAACTTACTGATAAGTTTCATGTGCTAAGTTCAAAATTCAGTTAATTTCAAAATAAAATATTTGCACTAATTAATCCAATATATTTTTAATTGTTACCAAAATTTTTTTTTTATTTTTAATTTACAGACACTGTTCACATCTTACTACCGTAGGACTTCCGTCAAACGGTCGCCGAAGACTCGTCGGAATGTTCAACATCGCCAGGAAGTCGCCGGAGTTTCGCCGGAAGTTCGCCGGAGTGTTAGGAACGTTAATGGAAGTCGCCGGAATGTTCAGAACGTTCACTGGACGTTAAGAACATCACTGGAGACTCACCGGAATGTCTAGAATATTGCCGGAAAAAAAAAAAGAATAAATGGATAAATTATAGCCAAAAAAACATAGCAAAATGTGCTAAATATTGATAAACTAAAAGGAAAAAAAATAAAACGACAAAAAACAGCAACAATGGGGAAAACATATGTTATTTTTCAATTTTTGTAAGGTTCAAGCAAATAATCTCTAAATAGTTATCAAACTGAAAAGTAAGTTTTAAAACTGTAAAATGTTACAATTTCAAAACAAAAATCTATTAAGCATTTATCCTTATTAATCAAACTGAAAAACATGTTATGAAACTGTAAAATTTTATAGTTTTACACCATGATTCATTTCAGCACCAAAAAAATTTGAAACTGTAGAATTTTACAGTTTTCACCGCCTGTAACTAAAACTCGAAAACTACTTGTTCAGAATTCGAAAATTTTCTCCATTAGAACAGAAAAACAGAAATGTATAGCAGAGAAAAAAAAAAAAAGAGATCGAAGGAGAAAGACGCATGTAGAGAGAGGATTGTACTCCGGCAACTATTTTTTGTTTAGATCTACTCAGATCTGATGTAGATCTGAGTAGATCTACATCAGATCTAAGTACATCCACTCATCTTCTTCGTCGGAAATATATCATCTTCTTCGTCGGAAATATATTATCTTCGTCGTCGGTGAGAGTGAAGTCACGAGTTGATTTCGATGGTTGGCGGTTATCAATGAACCCCGATCAATGGAGAAAGACATGATCACCGGTCGTCGTCCATGACAAAGACGATGAGAGAAAAATGCAGAAAAAAAAACGAGAGGAAGGGAAGCAAAAAACAGAGAGAGAGAGAGGAAAGGACTTTTGGGTGTACTCAAAAAGTTATGGGATTAAATGGTGTCCACATGTTCCACATGGGACCTGTGGGTAATTTCCCCATAAATTTAAAATGAAATTTATAAATCGAGTATGGTTAAAATAATGATAAATTATAAATACATCTTTTGAGATTTACTTAAAATATGAATTGTTTATTGTAGTTTGAAAAATTATAAATATCTCATTGTTAGAGTTTTTTATTTAACAAAATTAATTGAAAAAGTGAAATTTTTAACTGTTCACCTATACAATAATAAAATTACAAATCTGTTTTGTAGCTCGAAAATTATGAGGCTCGAATGGCCCGAGTCTAAAATGACGACTTTTTTTTTTTTCTTTTTCTTTTTCTTTCTTTCTCGTTTTTTCTGAAGATGAACATGAAAGTGAAGAAAAAGAAAAAGAAGAACAGAGAAGAGAGAGCTGGAACTGGAGAACACAAAGAGGGAGCTAAACAACAACATCTTCATCAACACATTATCATCATCAACAACAACTTCATCAACATCATCATCATCATCATCATCATCAATAACATCTTCATCAACACATTATCATCATCAACAACTTCATCAACATCATCATCATCATCATTAACAATTTTTTTTTTTTTTTTTCCAAATCCAGATTTACTTAGAAAAAAAGAAAGAAGAGAAAACAGAGTTTGAAAAAGGAATATTTTCATCAACAACATCTTTGTCAACATCATCATTATCATCAACAACATCTTCATCAACATCATCAACACATTATCATCATCAACATTTTTTCCCCCTTCAAATCCAGATCTACTTAGAGAAAAAAAAAAAAAGAAAAAGAGAGAAAATAGAGTCTGAAAGAGGAGTTCGACGATACCCACTGGCGCCGCCACCATCACTGTCGATCATCTTTTCTCCCTCTTCTCTGTCGCCTCTTCTCTCTTCCTCTTCTCCTCTCTCTCTCTCTCTCTCTCTCTCTCTCCCCCCTCTTTTCTTCCCTCTATCTATGTTCGAAAGAAAGAAAAAGAAAAGAAAAGAAAAAAAACACTGCCCAAAACGGTCAGACTATTTGAGCTAGAAGAATTTGAGTTACGAATCATTTTGATAAAATTATCTGAATTATTAATTGAAATAAAATTTTAATATTATTAAAAACTGTTAATTAGCTGGACGATTTATTAATAAAAGACCTATTTGTTATGAAATTATAAATCTTAAGGGACATAATGTAATTTTTAGAATCACATAGGGTAATTTATAATTTAAGTAAATCTCAGAGGGTGTATTTGTAATTTATCCTTAAACTAATTGTGCATTAACTTTGAAAAAGTAAGATTTGAAAGTATGGAAAAATAGTAGAAATTATAATATATATATATATATATAAATTACAGTTTATTTTGAACAATAATAAGGAAAAAGTGATGAAAATGAACAAATTACAACACGGTAGAGATTTGAAGAAGAATCATTGTAACAAAGGTGTCGTAAAACAGAATCTCACAAAGAGATCAAAGAGTTTTAATCCTTCTCCTATGACCTATGATATAAAAAAATAAAAAGAAAAAGAAAAAGCCCTAAAAGGCCTGTTTGGGAAGTTTGAAGTTAGATTGTTTATTTGGGCTATCATCATAATCAAATGGCAGAAACACCCATGATCTAGTTGGAAACAAAGCTATATTATATAAACCATTTAGCAGTTAAAGAAAAGAATATTCCAACTTTGCTCCAGAGCTGTCAATACATTCATACAGATTGCACCACCACCACTAATTTCATGAGAATTTTCAAGTCAATGTTGGGGTTGTCACATGATATGTGCATCATGGATGTTATTTGACATTATACATTTTATAAATGCTTAACTCATGCTTTGCATACATGGCATCATGGTGAGCGAAAGAGTTGAGTCCTCTATCAGTCGCATAGATAGATTCGAGAGGATGTTAGAAGGTGTGGCGGAGGCGATAGAGGCATTGAGGCAAAGAACTCAAGAACAACCACAACCACAACAACAACCATAGCAACAACCACAACCGCAACAGTAGCAACAAGTACCAGAGCAACAACTACCTCTGCAGATGGACTTTCCGGATCAGGCAACGATGGCACTAATAAGGGAATACAAAAAGATGAAACCAACTCAATTTTGAAAGAGGAGTTGATCCTTGGAAAGGCAGAGGCATGGGTATTAGAAGCAGAGAAATTTTTTGAAGTTTTTCCATGTACAGAAACTCAAAAAGTTGCACTTGCCACCTTCACTCTGGCAAATGAGGCTCGTAGATGGTGGATGTTAGTAAAGGGCTAGCATAAGGGTGTCACTTGCCCTCACTAGAAAATGCTGGAAGCCTAAGGAGATTGCTGGAACTCTCTAGAGAATGGCTAGAAGATGGGAAGCTAATAGAAGGATCTAGAATTCTCTAGTGCAGTCAAGAAGATAATAAGCTCAGGGTGATTGTAGAGCATGCTGGAAGCTTCTAGAATTCCCTGGAGCATTGTAGAAACTTGTATATAGTTAGAGGCTATGGTAGAATCTTCTAGACATACTAGAATAGTCTTAGAGTACTCTAGTTAAAGGGAAGTGTCTAGAACACTCTCCATTAATATGGTTCTAGAATAATCCTTGTAAGGCTATATAAAGGGGAGGCCCTCATTTGGCCAAACCACCAAGTATTGTAAGCTTTCTCTAAAGTAATACAAAGCTAACATTCTCCAAGCATTCTCCAAGTCTCTCTTGTGTGTGCATTCCCCTAGCTCCCTTCCACAAAAGGCTTACTTAGGTGCAAGCAAGGCGTGCTACAAGCGTCTAAGGCCGCACGGTTGGCTTGGAAAGACTGAGGGTTGGTTCAGGAATTCCAAGGCCGTGACACTTGGAACCGCTTTTTGGAGATCTTCTACGACAAGTACTTCCCACAATGGAAGGCATTAGAGTTCCAAGCAGTGAAATAAGAAGGGGGTACAGTGGCAGAATATGATGCCAAGTTCACGGAGCTAGCCAGATTTGCTCCACACATGGTCAACATTGAGTATAATAAAGCAAGGAAATTTGAAGGACTTAAAGGACCACTCCGGGACAAAGTGAATCTTTTCAAGTTTTCTACATATGCAGAAGTCTTAGACAGGGCGATTATGGCTGAGCTGAATGCTAGTGATGAACAGAAATCCAAAGAATGGTTTAACAGGAGACAAGGGTATGATACAAGAAAGAGACCAACAAATCTACCAATCAAGAAGCCAAGTGTATGAACTACTAGTGGTACCAGTCAGGGGAGCAAAGTTATTCTAGTTTGTCTAGACTGTGGAAGGAATCATTTTGTGATTTGCTGTCAAAGTACAGGGGTTTGTTTCAAATGTGGACAAATGGGACATCAAATAAGAGATTGTCCCAAGGCCCAACAAAATTCTTTAAAAGGTGCAAGTAGTTCATCAAGGTTGGTTCAGAAACCAACTACTAAACCCAGCACCACGGGAAAAGAACCGGTGAGACAAGCAAGGGAATCTGCCTTAGTCCCAGGGGGTGCCTAGAGTACGGAGCCCGTTGTATTAGTTATACTCTCCATCTGTGCTCATGATGCGTATATTTTGACAGATTTGGATTCCACGTATTCATTTGTATCTAGTCAATTTGTGAATAAGTTGAATAAATCGCCATAACCTTTAACTTTTCTAATGTCTGCATCTACATCGTTGGGTGAATTTATGATATATACATCTATCTATCGAGATTGTGAAATATTAATTGGGAATGTTAGCTTGATTGTTGATTTATTGCCTATAGAAATAAGTCATTTTGATGCTATTTTGGGAATGGATTGATTGTCAACAAATTGTGCTACCATAGACTGTGTATCAAAGTGTGTCTCATTTCAACCACCAAATCAAGAAGAGTTTTCTTTTCAAGGTAGAGGCGCAGTACCACCACCATATCTTATTTCATCCACGAAGGCATGTAAATTACTCAAGAAAGGGTGTTGGGGATATTTGTGTAGTGTCTTAACTGTATAGGGATCTAGTGATAGTTTAAGCAACATACCGGTAGTAAGGGAATTTTTAGATGTGTTTCCTGATGATCTATCGGACACTTTGATTGATAGAGAAATTGAGTTTACAGTTGATGTTGCGTTGGGAACTCAACCAATTTCTAAGACTCTTTACAAAATGTCGCCAGCAAAGCTAAAGGAGTTGAAAATTCACTTGCAAGATTTGTCAGACAAAGGCTTCTTCTGACCTCGCACTTCGTCATAGTGTGCACCAGTCCTATTTGTGGAAAAGAATGATAGAACTTTTCGTTTATGCATTGATTACAGAGAGTTGAATAATGTGACTATTAAGAATAAATACTCGTTGCCAAGAATTGATGATTTGTTTGATCAACTTCAAGGGGCACAAATCTCCTCCAAAATTGATTATAGATCAAGTTATCATCAACTTAAAGTTAAGGCAGAGGATGTTGAGAAGACAACGTTTAGAACCAGGTATGACCATTATGAGTTTTTGGTTATACCATTTAGGGTTACTAATGCTCCTGCAGCATTCATGGATTCAATGAATAGGATTTTTAAGCCTTATTTGGATGAATTTGTTATAGTTTTCATTGATGACATTTTGATTTACTTTAAAAGTGAGGAGGACCATGAACAACATTTAAGATTGATCTTTCAAACTCTTAGAGATAAACAGTTGTATGCAAAATTAAAGAAGTGTGAGTTTTGGTTGACTAGCGTGACATTTTTAGGACATGTTATTGATAAAGAAGGCATTTTTGTTGATCGCCAAAAAATTGAAGCAATAGTAAACTAGTCAAGACCCACTAATGTAACAAAGGTTCGAAGTTTTCTTGGTTTGGCAGGTTATTACATGAGGTTTGTCAAGGACTTCTCCAAGATAGCAGTGCCGCTCACCCAGTTGGCACAGAAGGCAACACCATTTGAATGGACAGAAGAGAGCGATTCTACCTTTTAAGAGTTAAAAACCAGGTTGATCGCAGCGCCAGTCTTTGTACCATCGTCAGGTACAGAAGGATTTGTTATCTATAGTGATGCGTCTCACAAAGAATTGGGGTGTGTTTTGATGCAGAACAACAAGGTTATTGCATATGTTTCTCGCCAATTAAAGTCGCATGAAATGAACTACCCAAACACACGACTTGGAATTGGTAGCTGTTGTTTCGCATTAAAGATTTGGTGTTATTATTTCTACGAGGCCACATATGAAGTATTTACTGATCACAAAAGTCTAAAGTATTTGTTTATCCAGAAGGAGCTCAATATGAAACAGAGGAAATGGCTAGAGCTGATGAAGGATTATGATTTGTAGATACAGTATTAACTTGGCAAAGTAAATAAAGTAACGGATGCCCCTCAACGGGAAGTCAATGGAGAATCTAGCATGCCTGCTCACTAAACAAGGAGACATATTTCAAGACCTTTAGAGAATGGAGATAAAATTGGTCTTACATTAGGCAAAAGGGACTTTAGCTGCAATTTCAACCCAACCATTTATTATTGAGGAAATCAAGGAAAGACAAATGAATGATGCCTACTTCAAGAAAATATTTGAGGAAATTAATTAAAAGCCAAGACCGGGATTCGCAATCAAAGAACAAGTGCTATAGTTTGAAGGCAGATTATGTGCCCCTGATATACTGGAGTTGAGAAAGAAAGTCATGGAGGAAACACACTGCTCCAAGTTTGCAGTCCATCCTGGATCACCAAAATGTATCAAGACCTCAAGTAGGTCTACTGGTAGCCAAACATGAAAAGGGGCATAGCAAAGTTGGTTTCATGTTGCCTACAACGCCAACAAATAAAAGCAGAACACCAAAAGCCGGCCAGTCTACTTCAACCACTCTCTATCCTGGAATGGAGATGGGAGCACATTACGATAGATTTTGTAGTTGGGTTGCCTCGCACACCAAAATGTATGGATTTAATTTGGGCCATTATAGACAAACTGACCACGTTTGCTCATTTCTTACTTGTGAAGTCTTTTTACAACACGGACAAATTAGCTACCTTGTATATAGATGAGATTGTTCGACTTCATGGTGTGCCTGTTTCTATTGTGTCAGATAGAGACTCCAAATTTGTATCTAGATTTTGGCAGAGCTTATAGAAAGCATTGGGAACAGAATTGAAATTTAGTACTACCTTCTATCTGCAAACCGATGGTCAATCAGAACGGACAATACAAATTTTGAAAGATATGCTTCGTTTGTGTGCATTGGATTTCAAGGGAAGTTGGGAAACTCACGTACCGTTGGCAGAATTTTCTTACAACAATAGTTTCCAAGCAAGCATTGACATGGCACCATATGAAGCACTATATGGAAGAAAATGCAAATCACCGATTTGCTGGACACAAGTTGGAGACAAACCGATGTTAGGGCCTAAAATTGTTCAAGTTACTATGGAAAAGATCAAAATTATTCAACGACTAAAAACCGCCTAAAGTCGGTAAAAGAGTTATGCAGATTTGAGAAGGAGGGATGTTGAGTTTGAAGTTGGATATCATGTATTTCTAAAAGTTACTCCAATGAAGGGCTAGACTAGATTTGAGAAAAAGGAAAAATTGTCTCCTCGGTACATAGGGCCGTTTGAGATTCTTGAAAAGATTAGCCCAGTAGCTTACCAGTTAGCATTGCCACCAGAAATAGAGTAGATTCATAATGTTTTTTCACATTTTCATGTTACAGGGTTATGCTCGGGATCCTTCCCACATGATTGATTATCAACGCTTGGTTATTGATGAAGACTTACAGTATGAGGAACAAACCATTCAAATAATTGATCGCCAAGTAAAGCAACTTCGGAATAAAGAAATACCTATGGTAAAGGCTATATGGAAGGAGCACTATGGAAGGGAGGGATGCTACTTGGGAAAAAGAAGATGAGATATCCTAATTTGTTTTCGAGTTAAGGTGAGACAAATTTAGAGGGCCAAACTTCTTAAGAAGGGAAGTATGTGACAACTAAACCGTTCATGCATCATATATATCTAATTGTTCATGCATTCATGTTATATGCTATGTACTTGTGTGACTTAGGACTTGCTAGCATTAGGATGAAAAGAAGAAGAAATTTGGAAACTTATGTATAGGATTTGTCTGCTATGTGTTTTGAGTTAATGAATAGTTTAAAACTTGATTTGAGAATCATAGGATGAGCCTACATCCTAAGCGATGAGCTTAAAGACCTTAGTCTAACAAACTTAACTATTTCATGCTATTTGTTATTTTGTTAATTAGGATTAGTGATAATTAAGTATGATTAGTGAGCCTTAATTAGGATTAATTAGGTTGAGTACGATTATGATAAGATTAGATTAATTAGTCTTAACCTAGATTAATTAAGCTTAAGTAAGTAAGATTAGCCAACTAATGATCTTTTATCCCACCACACACCATAAAACCTTAGGCCCCAAACCCAAAAAAAAAAAGAGAGAAAACTCAGCCAAGTTCAAGAACAAATGGAAGAAGGAGAAAAAGAAGAGGAGAAAAGAGAGAAGGGAAAAAAGAGAGGAACCAAAGGAACTTCACCAAAACTCATCCCTAAGCAAATCGAAGGTATGATTTCTAACCCAAATCCTACTGTAGACCTTCCTAACATCCAAGATTGAAAAGAAACTAGAATTAATTTGGTTTAAAAACGGAGAATTGAGAGGAAGAATGAAGAAAGTGAAGGAAAAATGAAAACAAGGCATATAGCCTAGGAACCTCAATTTTTTGATGTGATTCTTCAAGTTTTGATGCATATAGAACTTAAACTCCATGTTTCCTTTAGTGTTTCAAGGATATTGCAGGGAGGAATCTGCCGCATGTGCGGGAAGGGCCGCTGCACATGCGGTTTTGGGCAAAAGTCTACTATCCGAAAAAAACTGTTTGTTCTAACTCTTTTCCTTCCATTTTCAAGCCTAGGACTCGAGCTAAAACACCCAAAAACATGCAAAATCAATAGGAAACATAGAATTATAATTGCTTTCCAAATCAAAACATCAAACCATAATGAAATCCTAAGCTTAAAAGATCAAATCCCTTGAATTAGTTTCTTTTCAAATATTTTCAAAACCTTTTTTTTTTTTTTCTTTTTTTCATTCAAAACATGGATTTAGACATGATATGTATTCCTGTTCCAGAGTGAATGTAATATATATACAGTAAGAGGCATTTGAAATGATCTACACACTGGAAATTTGAACAGAGCATTAAAATGTATGGAATGATGGAATGAGGAAAAGGAAACATGAAAGAAAAGTATCATCGCAACTTCTCACACAAAATGATCTATGTGAAGTTGAGGAAAAATATCATTTTAACCTGAAATATACATGTCCGATGCATTATGCTCACCCAAAGAAACAACTGAGTTATTACTTGATGTTTCAATTGGTAAACAGAACACCATACACGAAATTTCAAGGCTTAAATGGACTCTCATCTCACATCAAGAAGCACTAAATTGAAGGACCTCTGTCAAGTGTCAAGTGAATGCATTCTCCAACTATATTTAGTTCCCTACATAAATGGCGTACTGGTATACATTAAAACTCATCTCTGCCCAAGCAGTTCTAAAAGAAATACGACTTTGTCATCCTCAATAAAACACAAAAGAAACATCAATCAGAATGATGTGGTTTGCAATTCACAGTTATCATGATGGGTCATCTTTTTTAATAGTTGAACTGACAAATAAATAAACCTCAATGCATCTCCAAATTGGACTAAGCAGCAAAAGACAACAAAACAGCAAGAGAAAGACTCCAAGAGGCATGATTAATGCGATTTTAGATAAAATAGCATTCAGTCGAGAAGAGTTACATTTTCCACTAAACAGATCCTCCTATATCAATTTCCATATATGATGAGGGAGAAGTCCCATTTGGTAACATTTTTGTTTTCTATTTCTAGTTTTCAAGAATTTTTTAAATTGAAAATAAAAATACTCTTGGGAACTGTTTTCTTCTCCAAAAATAAAAATAGCTAATTTTCAAAATCTTAGGAATCAAGAAAAAATTGCTCTCTCTTGTTTTCAAAACAAATTATTTATTTTTTGATAAATGTTTTCAACACAAGTTTTCATTCTCTGTGCTCCCCCACCCCCTCCTCTGGTCACCCCTCTGGAAACTCACCAAACATGCTTTCTTGATTTGTTTTTATATGTTTTGAAAACGTGTACCAATCATGTTACAAAAAATTAAAAACAGGAAACATCATCAAATGACACCTAATATCAATTGAAAGGATGCTTTGACCTGTTCACTTTATTTATTTTTTAGATGGTGCTTTTGACCTGTTTTGGGTTCACCAATTATACTCAATCAAGGGTAACTGACCTGAAATTTAGCACACATCACCTATTCAGTAACACCTAAATGTGCATAAATTCCTATTTTCATGTTTGTTTGGCTGAGTGTGAGGTAGGATTGGATTGCTAATGATATGGGTCCCACAACATCTTGTATGGTGGCTTCATTATTGGATGAGATTGTTACTGCAGCCTCATTGCTAATTCTACACCACCACCAGATTAGCTTTCCCTCTCCCAAGATAGGATTGAAAAATCAGTCCCTGGACTGGGAGGACAACTGACTGCTGCAACAATATTATATATATATTTTGGGCATGTTAAGCTACTTTGGCTGTTGTACCAAGATTATAATATTAAAAAAACATTAAAAATTAAACAACATTAATTTTACATATTAATACTATCAATACTATTATTAATCCGGTGGTGTACAAACAAAAACTCTTTATCTTATATTTTCAACCTAATACTATCACAGTAATAATCTCCTCACTCGATCTCACCGTACTCTTAATCCCCTCCATCCTAGTCGGCCAAACAAACATGACCTAAAAGCAAACAATTTTTCATTAAATACCAAAGTCACAAAACTAGTCAGGACTCCATGCCCCCACCAAAAATGCCTCATAGGCAATGCTTTTCTGGTCCCTTGTTTTCTACTTCATTTCCAATAGACATAACTTGAACTGATAAGTACTACTAATCCAACATGATTCATGGTATTCATGTGTATGAAGTTTTACGCATAAACATCCACATAGAAAAAGGACGAATTACGATTGCATTCAACAAGAATGAATCCAAGAAAGAAATTGCATACCACAACAATGTGTCGAATGCAAGAGCTAAATGATGTTTCTGTTGTCTAAATTAAAGGAGACCATGATCACCTACCACCTCAAAGTCTTGTGATGCTACTAACCACTACTGTATTATATCGAACAAGTAAAGGAATCGTTGCAATAAAATAACACTTCCGAGTAATTTGTTAATCCACCACTCCATTACAAAATCAACAAAGAAATGCCACCAAGGAATGTCCATCAATGAGAATGACAATCCAAAGTTGACATTTCCAACTCAAATGAAGTGCATATCCCATGAAAATTTCAGGTTTTCAAGAACATCGCGAAACCATCAACTAATAACCTAATAACAAAGACCAATTAATACTGAATGAAACATTTACCAATGAATAAAACTCGCTAGCTTAGATTTGGTGAATACAATTATACAACAATGGCTACGTGCATGCCTCATAAATCATCATATGATATTATCTGATAAAAGAAACTATCTAGAACTTGCCCAATTCGCCTAAAAAAAATAAAAAATTCTAAAGATGCTTTACACCATCATAAAACTATAAATAATCATGCTTACGTAATTTACCTTTGTTATTTGGCTCCACAAGCTATTTCCATCCCCCTTATCATGAGCTCACTTGACTGAGACCATGGCAGCAAAATGAACACTGCAACAAACTGGTCCTCACTCTTCATCAAATTTGCAATCAAACACTCGTACAAGCATTGGACAACAAGATCACAATTTGCCACAGCTGCCCAAAAGTACAATTCCTCAAGTTGAAATCCCATTCAACAAGTCCACCACCTCCTTCATTGCAGGCCTCTCCTTGCAAATATCACTAGCACAAGACATAGCAATCTTGAAAAACTCTACAACCCCAGCTTCTCCCAACCCATCTCTAGAAATATTAGCATCAAGCATTTTCATTTGCCTGTTGTGTTCCACCATCCTCCTAGCCCACTCAGCCAACCTCACTTCCTGGCAATCCCCCTCCTCCGCCTTAAATGGCAAATTGGGTCGCATCCCCGTTGCAATTTCCAACATAAGAATCCCAAAACTGTACACATCACCAAAGGTAGTGGCGGTAGTAGCCCCTAGTAAGTACTCTGGAGGCATATACCCCATTGTTCCGGCCACTTGGGTGGACACATGGGAATGCGAACTTTCAATTATCCTAGCCAACCCAAAATCAGCAATGTGTGCCTCGAATTCCTTGTCGAGTAACACATTACTAGCTTTAATGTCCCTGTGTATAATTGGCGTGTCTAAATTATGCATATATGCTAAACCATCGGCCACACCTCTAATAATTTTAAGCCTCGTTTCCCAAGACAACGGCAGCCTCGGGACTAATGATGCTGACACGTCATTCTCCGACGATGACGTGTCGAGCAGCCATTGATCGAGGCTACCGTTCTCGATAAACTCGTAAATTAGGATCCGGTCCCAACCCGTGGCGCAGTACCCGAGGATAGTGACGATGTTGGGGTGCCGGAGCTTACCTAGGGTTTCCATCTCGGCCCGGAATTCTCGAAACCCTTGAAAAGCATCGCTGCTGAGCTTCTTGACGGCGACGGTGCGGTTAGCGAGGCAGCACCTGTAGACGAGGCCGAAGCTGCCGTCGCCGATGATGAGGTCTGGCGAGAAGTTACGGGTGGCCTGGATGAGCTCCGGCATGGAGACCCAATTCAGAGAGGGGTCGAACGAGGCGCTCTCGCCGATGGGGATTGAGAGCTGGGAATTGGGCCGAGTTCGGGTTTGTTGGTTTCGGTTCTTGCCGCGTTGGCAGAGGACGAGCATGAGGGTGAAGAGTAGGGTGGCGACGAAGAAGCTAGCGATGGCTGCGAGGATACCCAGGGCGATGTGATCCATGGAGAATTTAGAGAGAGAAAGTTGAAGAGAGGGAGAGAGAGAGAGAGTTGAAGGTTTTGTTGAATTTGACTGACTGTGTGTGCGTGTGAATATAAGCGGCCATTAACAGGCTTTCGTCGAAGCACAGTTGCTCGGGAACTTCGGTGCTGGAGACTCAACAGTCTAGTTTTTTTTTTTTTTTTTTTTTTTTTTTTGTCACAAAAAATAAAACATCACATCCATCTCATAATCATTATACTCTTCTCTCACAAAAAAAGTCAAAAAAATCAAAAAGCCCTTCCCAAACCAAGCTTTTTAGCCCAGGCTAAAATAGCCAAAAAAGCCAAAAAGCCAAAAAGCCAACCCACTTTCCAAACGGAGACCTAGTAAACTCTTTGTTATTCGAATAATGCTTGGACCCCTTTTGGGTCACCCTTCACCCCTTTGCCATGTGACGGGTGGTGATTGGAGGAGAAGGAAAAAAAAGAAAAAGAAAAAAAAAATATAACCAATAAGAGAGGGGTCAAAGAGGGTGAGGGAAAAAGGGAATGAATCATTGTTGTTGTTATTTAGCGTGTCGCAGGAGCATATTTATTCGATGTTTCTGCTTTAATCAACGGATAATATTGGTTGTATCAAACGGTGATATGTAGAGTGATGAAGATTTGCTGGTTTTCATGTCTAAATTTGTTCATCCGCTTATAACACATATACATATAATTTTTTTTTTAAAAAAAAAATGAAGAGTGGACAAAATAATCTCTAAAAGTACAAGTGATTAATACATAAATTTATTCAAGAAAGGTTTGCACTTTCATTATTTTGATTTTTTTTTTTATTCTGCACTTCTTCTTTGTCTTTAGGTCATAACTTTCCTTTCTATTTAAATTTGAATTTGTATATAGTGATCAAATTTAAACTTTTAATTTAAAAATAATAATAATTTAATACCATAACTATTCAAAATTGTATTTTTCTGATAAATCCAATGTACAAGAAAATGTCTATATATGTACAAGAGAAGAAAATATAAAAATTCATTTTATATAATAATATATTGATGCAAATATATAAAAAATTTATAAAATTAAAGTTTGAATTTGAGAGAAGTCTAATTTATATATATAATCAAATTGAGTAACGATCTCCATCCATCCAAAAATCTAATTAATTTTTCTATTTTCATTTTTGACGGTACGGATTAGTAATTGTTATGTTAAATAATCTAAACAGTAACTTTAAAAGTTACCAACAAAACAAATAAATATATAGAATAATGTTTGGGACCCCTTTTGGGGGTCACCCCCTCACCTCCCCTTTGCCACGTGGCGGGTGGTGATTGGAGGAGTAGGAAAAAAAAGAAAAAAAAAAAGAAAATGTAACCAATGAGAGAGAGAAGGGGTCAAAGGGGTGGAGGAAAAGGGGGACGAATCATTGTTGAAATAAATAATCTTTCAGGCACCAACTCCAATAAAATAGAATCTGGTATACATGGACAAGATTACTTTTTGTAAATTTTTATACACCTTTAACGATCTTATAAAATAATTTATCAAGCCAATCAAATTTTGTGCAATTAAAATAGATCATCTGAGAGGAGAAAGTTAACATGTTCAGCTTATTTAAATAATTTTAACTCATAAACTACAGGTAAAAGCTCAGCTTTTAAGGTTGAAGCTAATGAAAATCAAATAAGATGAATGTAGAAGCTAGGGTGCACCATTGACTTTGATCAGAAGTGTTTTAACCATTTGTTCACTTATTCCATTGTCTAAAGCTCCCCAAGAAAATTTCAAAAAAGACTTACTGCTAAAAATTCTAATGTGTAGCATGGCCCAATATCTTAAAAAAATATTAGACCCAGAGAGAGAGAGAGAGAGTTATAATAAAACCTAATTTGGAAAGTTTCATAGGATGAATGATGTGTGATTGAGTGAAACAGCACCACTAAAAGTCAGGTTTTGTTCAAATGACTCCATCATTCAACAATGCATTTGTCTAGAAGGGGCATTTTACCTAACATTTGACAACAATAATTTACACTTGTATATGGGCGAGTTTGTCATCCCCGTCTCTGTTCTTGTTTTCAAATCCCACCCCAGTAAAAATTTTCAACTTCATTCCCGCCTCCATGGATGCCCGATACCCACAAATACCCGACCACATTACAAATAATCAAAAAAGTTAAAAATCATTTCAATTCTAAACACACTAAATAATTTCTCTTGTTTCCTCATATATATATATATATATATATATAAACAGTAAAAAATTTTAAATTATTATTTATTTATATTTAAACAGAACTACAGACTTTTAATATTCTTTTTTTATATTTAATTATAATATATATATGCATATATATTATTTATTTATATATATTATTAATTATATCAGGTCAGACTTGGATTGAGTATATATTATTAATTATATCAGGTCAGACTTGGATTGAGGAAAGCGATATCCGCCTCTGCCCTACTCCCGTTACGGGTAATCAGAATATAATCTACGTCCACCCCACATAAGTGTCGAGTTGGATAAAATCCACCTTATTTGGACAGGTACGAATGGACCTCGCTGATTAGATTAAAATGACCATTCTTGTAACGCATGCAAATGTTTCTACCAAGAGCTTCGAAGCATTACAGTGGTCACTAGGAGAAATTTTGAAATTCAATAAAGATGAGAGAAAAGGATGCACCCAAACATTGAACTGAATGTGACCAAATAACAAATAGTCTCATCTGACTAAAGACTTATACACTGAAATAGACATCCAAACGAAGATTCATGCAAGCACAAAGCACTCAAACTGGCCAAATTAAGATAAAAGTTAATCATGCTACACATACCATCTTTTCTTATTGTATGAATGAATCAAGTGCCCGATTCTGATGCTTACAAATACTCGGGTTCATGATCCCCTTGCACATTATAAAAAGTTCGGCACCAGAGAGAGTAGTAAACACAGGCTTAAAAGTAAGGAAAAAAACACAAGATACAATTATTAAAAATTTAAAACATGAAAACGGTTTAGGTGCCTGAGTTTATTTATGATCTAGTTCAGATTAATGGAGTTCCCAAAGTTGCATCTACCACCACCATGTTCAGAAGAAGAAAAATAAAGTAAAAGTCAAGGTCACATGTCACCCACAAGATTCGAAATTAATTTGCTATTCACTTCCCATCATTCTCACTGTTTGTCGCTTCAGAAGGATTTGCTTCACCAGATGCCCTTTGAGGAGGTGGCAGACAGACAACGTTCTTGACTATGGAAAAGTGAAAGTCAAATTCTGCTTTCAGTCTAGCGCAGCTGACATCAATCCACTGGTTGGCTACAGCAATATCGACGTTGTCTTGGCTGTCCCTCTCATGTTCTTCAATGGCAGGTCGGATTTCACTGTATAAGGAGTCGAGCTTGGCGGTGGCTTGGTTCTTAATTTCCTACATAACACATGAAACTTTGGATCGGAGTAAACCTTATTCAGGAAAATAAATATACTGTTTCTTTGGTTCCAAGCAATAATTGTGGTAAAACTTGATACGAAGCTTTTCTTCTTTTTGAAAATTCTATTGAGGCAATACTAATTAGATAAACCTGTAAGACAGTATAATCAAGGGTTTGGGAAAGCAAAAAGACTTCTAAAAAAATTACATGCCTACGATTCAGGGGAGTATTCTTTGCAATGCTACCACATCATATATCAAATGAAGAATCTGCGATAATTTAGTTTCATGAAGATTCTTGTCCAAGTCAGGACACAGCATTGCTAGAGTTCCTAAATTTTTTTCTCTACCCTAGCACCGTAGGCTACAGGAATTTTAAGTCAAAGGTAATGCAAGAAACTAAACAATACACAAAAATGCCATTACACTTGTAATCTATATAACTACAGGATTCTGGAAAACATAGCCTTAGCAGTTGGCACTAAATGCCCATTGGTGCATAAATTTTGGGGTTACCAAACTTAGTAGTCCCTATACTAAACAAACAGCCTTTAAATTTGCAAATGCCATGTCTTGCATATCTGAACTGACTCAAACAGAGCTTGCAAGCATGTCCTCAAACCTAACCAGAAATACGTGAGTCCTGTTGAAGTCCGCACTCACACGAGTTAATGAACAAAAAAGCCAGAAACATAAAGTTTTAAGTACACTGCCATAACTTAAAGAGTATACAGCTTGTACCTCGCATTTGATGATTTCCTCTTGTGCCACCTTTGACAGAAATAGTTGGGCAACACGTTTTCCATCAACTTGCTTTCCACCACCATGTTTTGACTTTTTGTTACCAATATGTGGTGCTTTTTTCTTTGAAGCAGAGCCTGATCCAACTTGATAATTCCGGCAAGTACTATTACTTCGAATTCGAGAAATCATTGGATTTTTGGGTGGAAAGACATGCAGAGTATCTTGCGAAAATAATTTCTTTTGTTCACTTACTTCAGTTTTTACCCTATTCATTACCACACCTTCTGTAGGAACCGAATAGAATGGCTCAACAACTACAGCACTGGACTCCAAATGAGGTTCAGATCCAACACTACCCTCTGTCACTGCAGAGAAATCATTCTTTCCACTGGCAATGAATTCAGGTCCAAAGGAGCTTTTATTGGTAGGGAGCTTTAGTGAGGGCTCATCCTCTGCAGAATCATAGAGTGGGATTTTCTCAACTTCATACCTGCACCCAAACAGGCAGGTTGACATCCAACAAGTCTAATGCAAAACCAAATGATACTGCATCAAGAATGAAAATGTCAAAAAGAAAGTCGATTAAATGCAACAGATAATCTAATAAACATGGTTTGCATGAAACATAATACTAAAAATGAATATATAGAGAGAGAGAGAGAGTATTATGATCGCACAAGTACCTTATTAGGACATCCTTTGAAAACTCCAGGTGCAAAGAAGAGAGAACAGCAGAAATTTAATTCTAAATTTTTATTTTATGCGAGAATTAAATGTGCATCTCTATGATTGGATCGAAACCAAGAAAATCAGAAATGTATACACAAACCATATGCTTTGTAGATATTTAAAAGCTCATGTCTCCTTTATGCTATTGTACCACAATCAAAATAATCATATACTAATATAATATCATGGTTAGCGAAATATCCACTACATTGCCAATTCTCCTTTTCTTTTTCTTTTTCTTTTTTTTTTTTTTCCTCCTTTTTTGGAGGTATAATCTCTGCATGTTTGTGCTAAAAAAATGCCAAGCAATCCACTATTTCTTTTCATTTGTTTTTTCCCATTTTTCCTCATGTAAGAAATATAAACTTCATTAAGAAAGAAGCACAAAGACAGATGAGGAATCCTTCTTAAACAAACAAAAAAAATAAAAAGTACCATCCCCATGAACAAAGAAGCCAACCCTAACTTTAAGCATCCACCCATGGAGATATAATGCCCCCTGAAAGATTGCATAGGAACTGGTATCCTATTAGTTAAACATCATCCTCATTTGCCATTCTCCAGACATAACTAACTTCTATCAAAACCCTATTATATAAACCTTTAACCTTTCAAATCAATTACCCATAACTCCAGGATCCTATGCCTGGCAATATAAACCAACTAAGCCAATCAACGCTTTCCCTGTCACTAACATATCAAACAAACCCAAACCACAGTTCCCCGAGATCCTTAACAGAAGTGGAAACCTGGAATCTCTGCCTCTATGGCATAGCCACTTCTTACCATATTATAGAAAACAAGAAGGCTTGACAAAAAAACAAAAAAACACTCACCCCACCAACCAGAATATAAACTGGTTACTCAAACAAACAGCTGGGGCTGAAAAAGAAAAAGGGATAGGTATCTCCAATGTGATATAAGAAAATGCCTCTAATACCAAGATGATATAGTTTCCAATGAAGTTACCAACTTACCATCTGAGTTCAACTCAATGCTCCCTATAGGAGATAGAACTGGGGACTGAAGGAGATTTGAAGCACGTGAACTTCTGCTAAATTTTATATTATGGGAAAACAAAAACCCAGTCTCAATTAGAGCCCAATAATAAACTACTTACTCCTAATATTTGTTTAATTGTTTCTTGTATTTAAGTTCTTCATTTAATTATACATCATCAACACAGTTACACTCAGCACCTTGCCCAGTAAAATTGGGAGAAATTACAAACATAATTTGGATCGATGACTTGGGTAGAAAATAAACAATTCATGCAAATAGGATTTAATTTGGTTCTGAATGACCCCTACTTGGATTCAGAACCTCAGATAAGTACAGATTTTAGAGGCATGATTGTGTTATTGAGTTAGAGTCCTGTTAGAGACATAATTGTATTTGTATTTTCCTTTTTGGTTTAGGATTTAGGGCTATATAATCTAAAATCTGATTGTAATCTTTGATACATTGAATTTTGCATATACAGAAAAGTTTTCAGGATTCTTACACAGATAAGTACAGATTTTTAATGGTGCTTGCCAACTAAACAATCAGGTAACAAGTTTAACAGCCTCAAACAAGTAAAGCCGTTCAATAATTAAATTACCCAGAAACAAATGCCAACTTCTGTCAGTAAGCTTTTATCAGCCTGACGTTCTTGTTGGTCTCCGACGAGAAAGAAAGACTTGGGAAACAGCAGCTTTCTGTTATGTAGACTTTATGGAGGGAATGCAACAGGAGGCCTTTTGAGGGTGTAGAGCTTTTGTTTTGAGCTGTTTGAGAGGATCTATGCTCTTTTATCTGTTCTCTTGGTTTAGAGAGGAGTGTTCTTTCTCAATTATTTACAATAAAGAAATAAAAATCACACATCTATGCAAGTTGAAGGTGCTTAGAAAGTGATGACCACTATGATAAGATGACAATCAGAGAACGAGCAACCAAATGGTGGTTGTTGCTATAAATATAATTGGCATGAAGGTTGATTTACAAGCATCTTCTGCTTTTTATTGCTCACAGGTGCCAGCAAAAATGATAAAATAAAGAGAGTTAGTGTAACAACTATTGCACCAAAAAGAAAAGGGAAAAATGGAGAAACTAGCATATAATTAAATATTCAATTTGTTCACGAAATCCTTATGCCCCTTGTGCAATTCATCATTTTGGTAAACTGGAATCCTCAACTCTTTATGTTCAACGAAACGAACTCATATAGAGGAACTTGCCATACATATATAATCAAGTTTGCTAACAAATTTTTGAAATGAGTTTCAATACAACATTACAAAGCGTAGGTGTAAAGGACTATAACTGGCTGTAAATTTTGGGTAATAAATGCATAACCCATTACCTTTCATCGCCCTCTTCCCACACATGGTTATGCTCCTGTTAAAGAAACGGAAAAACATAAGAAAAAACGACAATGAGTTTGCGATGAGGTTAATACACAAGTATACAAAAAATTCAAATACTGTAATGATAACAAGACACTCGCACACAACTAAGTGTACATGGCAAATACACAAGACCCTTTAAGAGACTACACATTACAACTTTATTGCACACATTATTACAACATTCTCGCTTACAAAACCACACATCACCCTTTAGTATACTCAGCTTCCTTTTAATAGTTTGGATAAATTCATTTTCATTAGGAGAATGAATGTCAAAGAGATGTTATTGTATCTTCAAATATAGACTTCAAAATTTCTCACTTTGAACTCACCAGGAAAGCAGGAGACTTTGCCCCGAGAAATTTAGAACAGTTAGGTGCCCCACACAGACATCGAACATTAGCACCACCATACCATTCAAAATTATAATCATATGCCAATTCAGTTTCAACGGTAATATCTTGTTTCGCAAATATACCAACCCTTATTTCCCCCAAAACTGTCCACTTCCTAGTCTCACAATTTGGATGACTGCAAGACCAAAATAATGCGTCAATGCCAGGGAAGATAAACAGAATTACATAAGGCAGACAATTCCATTTCATAATTCCTTGATACCTCATTATATCAATTAGGTGACTTACCATGAGTGGTTTATAAACCTAGCAAGGCTACCCTTTTTAGTTGCATCTATATAATTGTTGGCGTTAAGAGAAATGATATATGCATCCTTGAGACCTGCATCAAGCCACATAAAAAAGTTAGAATTGATTTCCAAGGATTGTAATACAGACATGTTTTCTTTTAAATTTATATCCTACCTTGAGCTTCATAAGCTTGGGACCTTTGCTTTGCTTCTTTGGATGATATTACTTCTCCACAATATTCAATAATGAACTGTCCAGCCTTCAAAAAAGAACTCACAGACAAGAGGTTATTAAGAACATAGAAATGAATTTAAAGAATTATATAATCAGCCATTGAGATCTTACCAAAACTCAACTCTCTCAGAAGATATGTAGAATACATCAGAAGCAGTTCTTACTTTCTTAATATAAATGGAAAATTGTTATTATTATTTTTAAAAAAATTATACATCAGCACACACCACAGAATAATTTTTCATGTTTCCAAATCACATCCTTACCTTGAACCAAGAAAAGACCAAATGTTCCGATCCAGTATATGTGAAATATGCTTGTTCATTTACGAACATATATATGCAGATTCAAAGTAATTACCTTGTTAAAATCCACCTACTCTCCACCTACTTCACCCACTTAAACCTACTCCACTAAACCTAACCCACTACACCACTACCACCTCACCTACTCCACTAAACCTAATCCACTACACACTCCACTTCACCTACCTCCACTTCACCACACACTCCACTTCACCTAACCCACTATCACCTCCACTACACCTACTACCACATTTTCTTCTATATATAGATTGTATAGGAATTGTAATTAATCAATCTTGTAATACAGAATCATCACAATTCAATACAATCTATCAATAATACAATTCTCTCTATATTTTTATACATTAAATCTTGCATACCTTAATATTCTCATCAGCCAAAAGGCCCCACCCACGTCCTTCGGTTTTGAACAACTTTGTTTTAGCATATTCACATTTCTGGAACCTCTGTAAACAAAGATTGATGAAACATCAAGATATTGAAACCTCAAAGGCTCCATGTGTTCAGAGTTATTCTAATTATTGGACTGTCTCACTGTCTAAAATTTGCAACAAAAAAATAAAAATAAAAACAAAAACAAAAACAAGAAACTATGAACAAAACAAAATGGAAAAATAAAACAATTTTACATGCACAATATACTGTCAGAAATGGAAATTTAATGCTCATCTCAAGGTAAAACTAAACAATAGTTGCTTGAAAGGTATAAGAGTAACCAGCATAAGGTAAAGCAAATAGTTAATTTGATACCAAGAAAGATATAATCATACAAGTCTACTGAAAAATCATGCCATGTAACAAGTATGCACATTAATAATCTTACAATTATGCAAAGGCAACACCACCACATGGTGACCCCATTCTTTTGAAGCTCCATCATACATTTTTCCAAAAACCAAATATTTCAGAGAATTTGGTTACATTTTTCTTTCCACTTGGAATAAAGTAAGAACTTATGATCAACATAGTTTGAATTCACAACCCACTTTTTGCAGATTGTCAGAGTGATGATATAAAGCGAGAGTTGGTTAGAAGGAGAGGGTCGAGACAGTTAATACAGAGAACTAATTCACATGAGAAAGTACACATGACTAAAATACAAAGACTATGACAGTATAAAATAACCAAAAAAACAAAGAATTATGGGAATGGACAAAAACAATTGGACAGAATACTCTTGCATATAAAAATAGAAACAAATATATCCAATCCAATATCACAGAAGTCAGGGATAAAAGGCGAGATTGAATCGAGGACAGTGGCAAGTGAAAGATTTTAGTGCAATAATATGATTTGAGTTCCAAACTTCTGATGAAAAAGAAAACTTAGCTCTCACAAATATTTCTACCAATTTTGACTGCAAGAATTTCATACTGTGAACCAACCATTATCTCAACATGTCAGACCACTAATATTGATACAGCTATGAAGTTCACCAGTAAAAACCATATACAGAATGACTATATGAGTTGTTCATGGGAAAGGCCATCAATCATTTGAAAAATGGTTATAAGTACTATAGCTGAGGTGACACATCTATACTAACAATATAGGGGGAGAACACCAATTGGTGTATCCCAGTTTATGAAATTCCATGGACTTTTTTATACAAAATTACTCATAAACAAATCAGTCATATACAGGTTAATTAACTGCTGAGAGCAAATACAAAAAGACATTAGTTCCATTTAACTCCACTTTTTACGCAACTAATGACACACCAGAAACTTTCAGGAACTCTACGTTGCCGTCCCATCCAATGGCTATACATATCCAATTCCTTCCTGCCATTGATCTTCTTGAATTGTGTGCATTTAGTATTGCAATCTCACTTGAAAAGCAGACCTTGTGGAAAATATCATTTTTGTATGCGAACTCACTCAAAGTGTGGCAATCATAACCAAAAATATCATTTATCAATGGAATGACAGTAACAAAAAGTTGAAGGAATTTATGAGTATTTTTGTACTGGATTTTCTGTTTCATCTGAATTATGATGTATTTTTAACGTGTGTTTGTTTTTGTGAAACTTTGTTTGCATGTCTCAAGCATACAAACAGTCCGTGGGTGCAGTTGTGGAGTTGATCCACAGGAAGTGGTGTTAGTACCGTCAGGTGCCAAACAGAAGGCCAAGAGAAAATAAGAATTCCAATATAAAAAAAATCCATGACATCTTCCCAGGGCATTTAGTTGCAAATTTATGAGCCTCTGACTCATTGAGTATCCAATTCCTGCTATACTTTACAACTGAGATGCAACACCGCTTATTCAATCAAACAGGGGTTGTGGGTGCATGTACTCAATAAATACAAAGAAAGAAGCAAAACACACAATGGTATTGCTCCAAATGAAGTTAAGAAAACTGTAACTTTTTGCATGAGTTGGTGGGGTTTTGCTCTGATTTGGTTGTCATGGCAATGGTTGTGATGTGCTGAATCAGCCATGAGGTATTGAGAAAGAAAGAAAGTTAGTGAAGAAGAAAAAAACAATGATGGAAAGAAAGAGGAAGAAAAAAGACAGACAAAAAAAAGGTGGCTGTGCTTGGGTTGTCAGCAATGGTACCGCTGACCCTTGTTGCATCCAGCAACAAACAAAAGGGTAAAGGGGGAAACTGGAATACAAAAAGAAAAGAAGAGATAAGGGATAAAAAAAAAATTGATGAAACGAATGAAGAAAAAGAAAATGTAGGAGAGAGAAAAAAAGGAGTGAGTTATCCCTTTGGCCATCAAATGTCAAATGTTAGCCCGTCCAAAATGTTATAATTTGACAATTCTTTTCAATATTAAAATATTAATTTTTAACCCAACCACCATTCTATCCTTTCAACTACCATATACTTCTAAATGTTGGCAGCTGGTGTTCATTTTAGATGACATGGCAAAGTTTGGTATTTGTAAAATCATCTGCCAAACAAACATGACCACGAATTTAGCATTGACAAATTTTAGCCATGCATTGGAGATATAAAGTTACAAAAAATATATTGAAAAAAAACCACTACTGTTTAGGTTAAGTAACTGCAAAAGGGTGCAATATAATGCACACACAGTGTGCGCGCCATCCTACTAGTATATAATGATTATAGAGACAAAAAATTCACTATTCATTAGTTTATTTGTAACACCTCAATGTAAATTTAGAAGGAGAAAATGATATGAAACTAAGAAATGGGACAGTTATTTCAAATCCCCATATAGACCCATTCATCAACCTAGTAGTGAAATTATAAATTACCAAGAAATAATTCTCACCAGACCTATAAAAAACTTCACATTGAAGTTGCTCTAGCGTGAAAATAATATATATATATATATATATTGTACATTGTAGAAATTTAATGTATAAAGAGAAATAGAGAATTGTATTATTGATTGATTTATATTGATTTCTATTACAATGATTCATGATTCCTATATATAGAAGAGGGTGAGTGTGTAGTAGGTAAGGAGTAGGTGAAGTGGAGGTGGTAGTGGTGTAGTGGGTTAGGTTTAGTGGAGTAGGTGAGGTGGTAGTGGTGTAGTGGGTTAGGTTTAGTGGAGTAGGTTTAAGTGGGTGAAGTAGGTGGAGAGTAGGTGGATTTTAACATACATGATAAAAGAATCCCCTTCAACCCACCATGGCATAAAGCAAAAAGCCAAATGCAAATTATGCAATATGATCAAGACAACCAGAACTGTGATAGAACACTGACCAGACCTGCCAGCTTAGGTTCTATGCAAAGCAAATCAAATGCCAGCAGCATTAAGCTCCCAAGACCAGGTTCTGGGTATGAGAATGTCATGGCTTATAATAAAGTAAAACTACATCCAAGATATTATGTGGGTAAAATTGAGAAATACATTCCACAAATCTCACAAATAAAGCAGTGGCATCACCAATAAAGTCAAGTTTATTGACCTTGAGTCACACAAGAGATTTAACTCTGAAAAAAACTAAGACACATGCTGAAATTCCACAAAATATCGTGTAATATTAGTCAAGGTTTTACAATGATCTATTAATATGAATGTGAATGTGCCAGTATTTATTGTTTGGAGATCTAGGTGGTGCTAGAGATTGAATATATGTAGGCAGTGGCGTGCCACCATTATGCAGAACCACCAATTCTATTAGATGTGCTCTCATTCTGGCAAACTGCAACATCAAAAATCAATTATACAATTGATAATAATTTCCCCTTTTTCAGAATTTTTTTATTTTAAACAATCATAGATGTAAAACTAACACCCACGACCAATCAAAATTAGAAGTATCTTCAGCTTCAAAATCAACAGGAGCTGACTGACACAGTTAGGGTTGCAAACGAACCGAGTTGTTCACGAGCTGGCTCGGCTCATTAAAGGCTCGGCTTGGCTCAGTAAACGAGCCGAGCTCGAGCTCGAATAAGTTCGGCTCGTTTATCTTTATTTAAATTATATAATAAATACATTATTTATATATTAAATAATATATAAATATATATATACATAATAGCATAAATATATTATTTATGTATTAAATAATATATATAATATTTTTATTTAAATAACAACAATGCTACGTAACTCAAATTTTGTGGCTCAAAAGTGGCTCAAATGGCCAAAACGACGTCGTTTTGAGTACAGAACAACATATACATAATAGCATAAATATATTATTTATGTATTAAATAATATATATAATATTTTTATTTAAATAATATAAAAAATAATAATAAAATCTTATCAAGCCAAGCCGAGCCAAGCTCGAGCTCGAGCCCAATTATTTATCGAGGCAAGCTCAAGCTCAACAAAGCTCGGGTTGGCTCGAGTCGGCTTGGGTCGGCTTGTTTGCAGCCCTAGACACAGTTGAAACACCATGCAGAAACAGGAACCATAAAAGAGGAGGAAAAAGGAAAATCGACCCAAGGTATTATCTAAAAATTTATTCAATTCACGACACTGATACAAGTATTAAATAAGATATTCATCTGATCAGGAAGTAATTTATATTAAATCACAAAACACAGCAGCATACTCCACATAATGTTTCTTTATTCTTAGAAGAGTTTTCAGAATGTGGAGCCTGTTTTTGTTTTGTTTTGTTTCTCTCTCTCTCTCTCTCTCTCTCTCTCTCTCTCTCTAAAGTAATAAAGATCCCACAATGATTTTTCACATGTTACATGTAGCATCCCTTTCATCAATGAACCTGTGAATATTACTGAAAAATCCAATCTACAGAAATACCAGCAAAAATAATAGGTTCCAACATTCAACTTTAGCAGAAATGGAACATGTAATACAGAATACTATGCCATGCACATGCATATGCACAAACACAAACACAAACACACAGAAATCGAACTGATCTTCACCTGATTTTTGCAATAGTCTCCGCAGGGGCAATAGCCAGGTGTGCATTCAGTACTGGTCAGAAAGTTCAAGCACCTCTCCCGACATGCACTGTCAGGATCAATGGTATCATATTTACACTCACAGATGGCAATGTCCTCTTCTTTTAGCTTTTTGAGCCTAGGAACACAACTTATATCAGATGATAAGCAAGTGATCATTGTTAGTACAGTAATTATACGAATTACAAAATGCATCAAATTGAATAAATATATCAAACTCCAGCCAACCATAATTCTCCTCCACTCCTCCCTAACACACATAAAATAAATAATAAATAAATAAAATAAACAAACAAAAACAAAAACTTTAAAAGAGAAAAGAAAATTAACAGGCACCCTTTTACTTCTTTTTTCGAGAACATAATATTTGTGTAGGAAGGGAAGTCCTATAATAGAGACATCTACTAAAAAGAAGTCCACATCTATGAATAGCCATTAATAATTAACAAGACCACATAAAAAAATCCAGTCATTTTTTCATATGCTACTGAATGTATACATGCAGGATGTGGTAAGAAAAAGAAAAGATAATATATTGCATTCAAAAAAACAAAAATTGTAACATCATATCTATCTTTTTCAAGAAGATTCCAAACTTTTAAAGGAAATTTTCTCTTAAGAACTTTCAGAATTCAGAGGTGAATGTAACATCAGAACTTTAAATTTACTTCCATCATAAAGCAAACAGCACACTCCCTATGAATGAGACAGCAACCTGATCCCCCTGACAAACGACCATTTGAATTACCAGGACTAGCCAATTGACTCACAACTAATAAGCACAATTAAACTTCAGCTTCAAGTCAAAGAAAATTTAAAACCTTTAAATTGCAGGCTCAAATTCTACAAACAGTTATCATTGAACTACTTGCATTTTATGATTCTCCAAACGGAAAAGAAAATGATAAATTTATAAGAGTATGTATCCACTCAAACAAAGAATGGCTTAAGAAACATGCCATTAAATTAAATGTCATTCAAAAATGTTTTGGCGCAAATGTAGATTTTTTTTTTTATCTTGTGTACCCAATATACTTCCTCTTAAACAGTAATTATTAAGGATACAAAGGACATGTTCTTCAAATATCAATTATTTTGTAAAAATAAAAAATAAAAATACCAAACTATTTTATGTAATGACAAGAAAATAAAAGCAACATGTCACAATTTGTCACTTTTTCTTCAATCAAGAACATTTGCATGCATTTATTGTTGCAGATAAGGACCATAATGTCAAAGGGATCAGATCAGAGATTTACAAAGTTGAAGATATAATTTCATGATTTATATCATGATCTTTGCATCTTTGATTTATCTCAATCCCTTAGGCTTCATTTGGATCGTTGGGTGAGAAACGAAAAGAAATGATTGTGGCCTCTCGTCTATGTGATAAAAGAAAAGAAATGATGGTCACTATCATGTTTGGATGAGTAAGAAATCAAAGTATGGGATATGGGAGATGGGTGGAATTTATTTTCTTCCTATATATTTTAAAGGCAATCTTGGTATTATGAAAAATATACAATCAATCAATTTGTTTCTCAGCAAATGTCACCAGCTTTGTGAGAAATGAAACCTATAAAATAAGAAAGTTCTCTTTCTCTACATTTCTCACCAACTTATAAACCGAATATGAGAAAAGAGTTATCTTTTTCTTCATTTCTCATCTGTCTCTCACTCCATTTTTTTTGATAAATAACCAAACTTTATTAAAAAGCATCAAGAAGATGCAAAGAATACAAAAAACGGCCTCAAGAGCCCCATCGAAACTAACAAATCAAATTCTCCACAAAATCTGTAAAAGCCAATACATCTGGATCCACTAAACCTGTCACCCAACTATACAGAATAGTAAGAAGGCGCCTCTCTAACCAAGTGATGGAATGAGCGACCCCATGAAACACCCGCTTGTTTCGCTCCAGCCAAATTAGCCAAAGTAAACAGTGCAAGGCAAGAATCCAAGCCTTTCGACGTCTCTTCCCCACCCTCCCCCCAACCCAACTCTGCAAAACTGCAAACAAAGAACCCGGTTGAACCCAAACCAGCCCAAACATTGCCACCACAAGCATCCAAAGACGAGAAGAGACCGAACAATGAATAAGCAAATGGTTAACCAATTCCGCAGCCTGACCACACAAGCAACACCAATTCACCAAAATATGCCCACGACAAATCAAATTATCAATAGTCAAGATATGACCCAAACTCGCCGTCCACACAAAGAAGGCAACCTTGGATGGCGTGCCTGACACCCAAACACTCTTCCACAGATAGACGAAGGTGCCATCAACAACACACTTATCCTCAACAAGCGCCCCATAGAACGAAGACACCGTGAAAATACCTTTGGCCCTAGGACAATCCCAAACCAAGGCATCATTATCCGCCTGTCCAAGATGTAAACCATATAAAAAACCAAGGAGGTCCACTAATTGATCTAGCTCCTAGTCTTGGACATGACGACGCAGCTGCACGTTCCACACCCTCAACTGCCCCTCCCCAACCCTCACAGCACTCACCAACACCTCAAAATTCGAAGCAATAGCAAATATCAAAGGGAAACGAAACTCTAAAAACCAGTCACCACACCACCTATCCCGCCAAAAACGAACTCTATCCCCCACACCAATTTTGAACCTCACGTGCCGCCAAAACACTTCCCGACCCAACCAAATCCCTTTCCATAACCCGCAACCATGAGAATGACCCACCCGTCCCGAGCACCACACCCCCCTAACCACACCAAACTTAGCAACCACCACCCGTCTTCAAAGCCGCTCCCTCTCCTCCACGAAACGCCACAGCCACTTTCCTAACAAGGCCAAATTAAACAAGACCAACCTCCGAACCCCCAATCCCCCTTGCTCCTTAGACCTACAAATCCGATCCCAAGACACCAAATGATAATGACCACCCTCACCCCCATCACCCCACAAAGAGTCCCTTTGCAATTGCTCAATCCGCCTTGCTACAGAGACCGGGATCACATGAACAGAAATAAAATAGGTCGGGATACTCGACAGAACATTTTTAATCAATGTAAGCCGCTCTCCCTTCGACAAATAATGACGTTGCCACCCTGCCAACCGACGATGCACCCGATCCACCACTCCTTCCCAAATCCCTGTCGCTTTAAAGGAAGCTCCCAAAGGCAAGCCCAAATATGTGACAGGTAACGATACCACTTTGCACCCCAAAATGGCTACCAAAACCGAAGACCTCGCCACTTGCCCCACTGAAATCAATTCTGATTTTGCTAAATTAACTCGAAGCCCGGACACTGCCTCAAAACACAACAACACACATCTCAAATGTCCAATCTGGGCCTCCTCCGCATCACAAAAAATAAGCGCATCATCTGCAAAAAACAAATGAGATACCATCACATTCCCCGGAGCCACTCCTACCTCAAATCCATTCAGCAAACCTACTTGCACCACCCTTGCCAACAAACGCCCCAAAGCCTCCATAACCAGAATAAACAACAGAGGAGATAAAGGATCACCCTTCGCAACCCGCGATGAGTCGGGAAAAATCCTGTCAGGGAGCCATTAACCAAAACTGACATTCGCACAGTAGAAATGCAAAACAAAATCCAACGCCGCCACTTCGCCCCAAATTGCATCCTCTCCAACAAATACATCAAAAATTCCCAATTCACATTATCGGAGGCCTTCTCAATATCTAATTTACAAATAATCCCCTCCATCCCTTGACGCAACTGCGAGTCCACACATTCATTCGCCACAAGAACCGCATCTAAAATTTGCCTAACCCCCACAAAAGCATTCTGGGATTCTGATACCACCCCTACCAACACCTTGCGCAAACGATTCGCCAAAACTTTAGCCAACACCTTATACACACTCCCTAGAAGACTAATAGGCCGGAAATCTCTAATATCCCCCCCCCTTTCTTGGAAATCAAGGCAAGAAATGTAGCATTAAGACTTTTCTCAAATTCGCCTGACTGATGAAACTGCTCAAACATAGCCAACACCTCCAACTTCACCACCCCCCAACAGTGTTGAAAAAATGAAATAGTAAACTCATCCGGACCAGGCGCCTTATCCCCAGGCATACTTTGCAAAGCCTTAAACACTTCCTCTTCTGTAAATGGCCTTTTTAGAGAAGTACATTCTTCATCTAAAATAACATCAAAACTTACCCCATCCAAACCCGAACGCCACTCCTTCCCTACGCACTGAAACAAATGCTCATAAAAACCCACAATACTTGTCTTGACCTCTTCTGAGGACGAAAACTCCACCCCATTTACTCGAATCCGACCAATCTGATTAACCCACCGATGAGCATGCGCCATACGATGGAAAAACTTAGTGTTACGATCACCATCCTTCAACCACAAACATCTAGATTTCTGGCGGAAACTAATCTCCTCCATGTGTGCAATGTGACCAAATTCCTACCGAACTTCCTCTGGGCGAACCACATCAACCTCAGACAACACCTCACCACCTTGTTTCTCCTCCAACGCCTGCAGAGCTTCTAAGACTCTAGCCTTCTGCCCCTCCAATTCCCAAAAACCTCCCTATTCATCTCTTCAAATCTAACTTAAGGAGTTTTAATTTTTTCGCTAACCGTGAACTAGGCAATCCTGCCACATTGTAAGTCACCCACCAGCCTTTAACCATCTCCACAAAGCCCTCAGATTGTAACCACATGTTCTCAAATCGAAAAGGCGTCGGACCACTTCTAATACCCCTACTATCCAACAATATTGGCCAATGATCAAAAGTTGGACGTTGTAACTGCCGTTGAGTTGCCTGAAAGAAATGCTCCTCCCAATCCCCTGTGACTAGAAATCTATCAATTCGAGACATAGCTCCACCCCCAGACCAAGTGAAACCACCGCCTTGAAGCGGAAAATCTACCAATTCCATTTCATTAATGAAAGAAGAAAAACGCCACATTGGACCCCTCCCTGAGGAAGCCCCCAATTTCTCCTCCAGACACCAAACTACATTGAAGTCCCCACCCACACACCACGGGACCCCCCAGCGATAAGCTATAGTCTGTAGCTCCTCCCAAAAGCTTGGTCTCTCTACTCCCCAAACTAGCCCATAAACCCCTGCGAAGGCCCATCTAAAATCATCCTCTACACATCGAA